GCATATGGATAAAGCTGAAAAAATCATTTGTTTTTTTTTAATATGGAGAGCAAGTGTTATCCGATATAAACATTCAAACCAGAAAAGAATTGAGACTAGCTTCATTACCGCTTCTGAAATAGGGCTTGAACTAATTCTTATATCAGCAATTAGATTTTTGCAATACAGTAAAATTCATTTTAATCTGGAAATTACATGTACTGGTTCCAAAGAAATCAATTGAATTAGACAATATTCCTGATATTCCTGATTAGAAAAAAAATACAACATCCAAATTAAACAAGTTTTACTTTTATCATTTTCTAATATTTAGGGCAATGAATGAAAATTTACTTTTGTGGCTTCACTTTCTGCCTCTTCTTTTTGACTGCACTTCAAACAGCTCTCTTTTAATGAAGACAAGTTGAACTGGTCCAGTTCATTACAGGCATCTTGCATCAGATCAGTAGAAACAAAACCAAGATTCCTACATTCCTCAACTGACAACAAACTGGAAGCTACCCTGTCTATAACTAGCTGTAATAAAACATAAATTCATGTAAATTTATCTTGTTAGCAAAAATTAAACTTGTTTAACAGTTACTCAACTTACTGTAAAGTCGCACATGTGGCGCAGTGGTTAGAGCATCTGCTCTAGAGTCGCGAAGTAAGAAGTAAATCCTTACGTCACGAGATTGAATCCCATTGTGGGACGTGGAGACTGGTCTTTCAGATGAGACCATGTAAACCGAGGACCCGTGTTGCAGTAGGTGCTGGCACAAAAAAGATCCCTCCCTGCTTTATGGCCCTTAGTGCCGAGGATAGGACAAAATTTGTAGCCTTCCATTGGCAAGTGGTGGCATCTCAATATGAGTGAAAAAATTCTTGAGAGGGACATTTGACAACATACTGTAGTTCACTTAATTTTCGCGACACCTTATTTTCGCAAGATAGTCATTGACTCTTGATTAGCAAGGCAAAATTTTCACGAATTATGGTTATTGCTCTATATAATATTAAGGAATACTATTATAAGCGAGATTTAAATTTTCGCGAGCACACTGCCTCGCGTAATTACGCGAAAATAAAGTTCTCACGAATAAAAAGTGATTTACAGTACAATTACTGTAAATCGAAAATAATATCAAATGCCGGGATCCAGCAGTTTAAAGACTGTGATCCTTTTGTACATTTTACAATAATAATCTCGCTAAATACAAATGACATTAGGTTTTACTGCCATTTTATTCTGACAATCTCTCTTGAGACAGTGTTTAGAAAAACTCCAAAATTAAAAAAATAAATTTAAAATATTAAATATATTTATCTTACTTCTACAAAACAATTTGATTATAGATACACAGAAATGAAGACTTTTAATGAGATTTAAATATTCCTTTATATTTACTACAACCATGATCTAGCCACCTGTTATACAGTCACTCAGCTTATCAGATTATAACGTTACGTGTCACTGTCAGCAACAGATTTAATTTCAGGTAAAAATAACTTTTTATACCTTAGCAAGTCGAAAAATATGTAATATTTTGTAAGTTGACATAAAAACTAAATATTTTGCTAATTTACGATAAAAGTTTTGGAAGACGAAAGACTCCACTTACCAATAATGCAAAAATAAAACGAGGGACACCTCCAGTGTCCACCATGTTGAAAGAAAATACTACAACTTCCGGGTAACAAATAATATCAAAAGTCTAATCCGTGAGAGGATCCGGGAAAATTATTAACGTGATGGAAAGACAAAAGTCTTAGAATTTCTAATACCATATGCTTCTTTTGTCATTTACTGTCAGTGACGTATTTTTTTTTTACCGCAGATAACTTTGTCAAACAAAATTAGTCATTGTACCACATACAATGAAACGTTAATTGGAACATAGAAAAAGTTTCAATTACTTTGCATTATCAGATTGAATTATATGAAATTTCTCCAAATTTATAATTTTTCCTTTGGGTAAAAACAAATTGACCTTTTCACTTTTGATCCACGATTGAAAAACTTTAACTTTGGCCTTAATTTTTGAACAGTTGATGCTAAGGTTTTCATATTTCACATTTATTTAGTCTTTGAGCCCTGTTGTTAGGCTCCAGGTTTCACATCCATAGAAAAGCACTGATTTAACATTAGGCCTAATATTAAATATTCTTATCTTTGTTTCTTCACTTAGTGTACTGGAACGAGCGTTTCACGGTCCGGCTTTCATTGCTTATTCTGGGTTTCATGTCTTCGTCTGAACCACCTGTATTTTAGTTAATGATGGACCCCAAGTACATATAAATTGCTCCACCCCCTTAATTGTGATTGGTCCACATTTTCTAGAAATGACTTTAATAACTTTTCTTTTCTTGCTATTAATTTTAAGTTCTATCTTCTTTCCAATTTCATTTAGCTTGTTGGTCTTTTTCTCTGATCATGCTGATGTCTTTTATTTGGTGTGTCAGAAGGGCAAGATCATCGGCAAAATCCAGGTCTTCCAATCTTTAGGAACAGGGTGAGCGAGAGTATAAGCAGCCAAAAGTTTCACTCCAGTTTTCACTTTAAAGGAATCATAAGAGTTGTATCGTGTATCACGTGTAGTGTATCACGTGTACTGAGAATTTTTAATACATAGAGTCTTAATAATATTCACTATAATATATGATGGCAATCCATAGTATCTCAGCAGTTGCCACATCCCATCTCTGTTGACATTGTCAAATGCTTTTTCAAAGTCCATAAAGTCTATATACAGACATGATTGCACATGCCATTCAGCAGATTGCTTCACGATAATTCATAGAGTTGTAATTTGGTTGGATATAAAGCCTGTCTGTTCATCTCGAAGAACAATATCCACTGCATCTTTCATCCTGTTCAGTATTACTCTACTTAGGATACAGCAAATATCAAAAGCTAGATACTGAAAGCGACTGGACTACTGGAAGAGATACCATCAAGGATACATGTGAAGAAGTAATAGGAAGAAAAATCCAACAAGACGAAAGAATGGATGTCTGATAGTATATTGCAGAAGGTTGGTTGATTGATTGTATGTTGCTTAACGTCCCTCTTGAGAATTTTCACTCATATGGAGACGCCACAACTTGCCGGTTGAGAGCTACACATTTTGTCCTATAATCGGCACTCAGGGCCATTGAGCAGTGAGGGATCTTTTTCGTGCCAGCACCTACTGCGACACGGGACCTCGGTTTATAGTTATATAAGGTCTCATCCGAAGGACCGGTCTCCACGTCACACAGTGGAATTCGAACCCGTGACGTAAGGAATGACTCATTTCTTTGCGATTCGAGAACAGAATCTTTAACCACTGCATAACGAGGGCGATACAAAATGAAAGAAAAAGGTAACAACATTAAAACAAGAGCATGCACGAAAGTGTGACGCATACATGTATGCCAAGTACCAAACTTTAGATAGAGAAATTCAAAGAAATCATGCAAGAATGACCAAAGAGAGTATGTCAAACAACTTGCAACAGAAGCAGAAAGAGCTGACTATATGAGGGATATAATGACTCTACAACATCACCAAAACCTTATATAGTAGATGCAAAAAAATGCAAGTCAAAACCGGTCAAAGACAAAGATCAAAAAGTTCTCACCAATCTAAAGGAACAAATGGAAAGGTGGAAGGAGCACTTCATTAATGTCTTGAATAGGACAGAACCAGATAAACCGGTATCCTAAATCCAAGGGAAGACCTTAACATAAAGGTTGACAGTAAAGTGTAAAGAAACAGGATATCAAGAAAGCCTTAACATCATTGAAAAATGGTAAAGCGGCCGGAGTGGGTGATGCACCACCTGAGGTGTTGAAATAGAGAAAAGTGAATACCTGTTTTAACTATGAAATAAAACCTGGAAAGCTGAGAGAATACTAGAGAATGGAAAAAATGGCTACAGGTTAAACTGCCAAAAAGGGAGACGTAAGCTGCTGTGAAAACTAGAAAGGTATTTGGTATTGCTGCCAGTAGCTAGCAAGTTCCTACGTAGACTAATACTAAACAGGATGAAATATGCGGTGGATATTGTTCTATGAGATGAACATGCAGGTTTTAGATCCAACAGAGGCTGCACTGACCAAATTACTACTCTAACGTCTAGTGCACGGGATCTGTTCCATCACTGGATCTTGTCAATCAGTTTTTTTAGTAAGTCTATACATTGTACTTTACTCTCTTCGTGTCAGCTTTTGCATTCTTTACCAGTTTGATTTTCAATCTGGCTAGTATCACCAATATTTTAGATAGTATTTACTATTTACCAACAATTGCCTAGGACGCAGCTGTAAAGTGACACGGCCAATAAAAATATTCACCCAACAGCTACTGGAGCGTACCAGCCAAGAACTAACATCCCCCCGGATCAAGAAACGAGCATGGCAGTGGATTGGTCATACATGGAGAAAGCCCCAAAACAGCATCGTTAGAGAGGCATTGGACTTGAATCCACAAGGTCAGAAAAAAACAAGGGCGACCATACACAGTTGGAGGAGAACAAGATTGAAAACATCAGAAATATCTGGAATGAAGCAAAAGAACAGCCCAAAACTACGATGGCCGATATGAGCCGTCAAAATACAAGTAAGAGTAGCTCTATTATGTACGCAGAATCAATGGCAAGACGCATGAAGTAGTTATATAACTTTGTACATGTACAAATCTTGAGACAAAATACAAGATGTACACTCGAGACTACTTAACATTCCTTAGATTTATTGGGAAGATTATCTGTAAACTTAGAAGGGACAAAATCAAATACACATGTTTAATTCTGATTTTTCCTCTATTTACTCCTGTTCCCCTCATTTTTAGTTGTTTAATAAATGTTGTTCACCTTACTTCAATTGATCACAAAATGCAGCAAGATTACTTTTATTTTCGCCTTTGATCAATCGGTGTTTTTTGGTTGTTGTTGTCTTTTATTATTATTATTTTTAAATTTTAACTTTCACAACAATAAAATCTTAACCTTCATTCGTAGGCCCCAAAATACCCATAACTGATTCCAGAAACAATGGAGCTGCATCTTTATTTTGTTTCCCTCCAGAAAATATGTTGTTTGATGATATGTGTGAGAAATGTGTTTATTTTTCATACTATACTTTGCCCTCTTTCAGTGTTACTTTTTTCTACATTATTGTTTTCTCATTGGAACGAAGAAACATTCCTTAGATTTCTGTGAACTGAGACGAGGACGGAGAACCACGTGTTTTCGTTCTTTATTTTTTTTATTGAGAATGGGTAAATACATGTAAATGATGTATGCCAATGCTTTTAATGATATTTAAAACAACAACACTGAATTTACTTATACAAAATATTGTCAGCGATTTAATCTGTCGGTTTTTCCATCATTGAGGGCATATTTTATGAGAGTCGTTATTCAGATTCCATAGTAAATGAGCTGCTTTTATGTAAAAAGTTATGTAGTTCCTCATTCCATATTTTTCCTCGTTCCAATGCATGAGAAAAAAGAATAATGAAGAAAAAATCTATATGGAAAGGGCAAAGCATAGAATGAAAAATAAACACATTTAATTTCTTACACATATAATCAAGCAATAGATTTTCCTCTGGCTAGAAAAGAAAAAATTAAGATGCAGCGCCATTGTTTCTGGAATCTTTTATCGGTATTTTGGGGCCTACGAATGAAGGTTAAAATTTTGTTAACGTGAAAGTTAAAATTAAAAAAAGACAACAACAACCAAAAAACACCGAGGGATCAAAGGCGAAAATAAAAGTAATCTTGCTGCATTGTGTGATCAATGGAAGTGAGGTGCAAAACATTTATTAAACAACTAAAAATGAGGGGAACAGGAGAAAATAGAGGGAAAATCAGAAACATGCGTATTTGATGTTGTCCCTTCTAAGTTTACAGTTAATCTTCCCAATAAATCTAAGGAATGTTAAGTAGTCTCAAGTGTATTTTGTCTCAAGATTTGTACAGGTACAAATTTATATTACTACTTCATTCGTTTTGGCATTGATTCTGCGTACATAATAGAGCTACTTTTAGTTGTATTTTGACGGCTCATATCGGCCATCGTACAAAACAGAGTAAGGCGGAAAGAGACTGTAGTAGCCCTATGCTCCACAAGGAACGAAGAGGACGAAGTAAGTACATCTAACTGCAAATATTTAGTTTTCCAAAAGCTGCCATACAGGGGCAATAGGGCATTAGGAACTATATAAGATTCAAGAAACTAGAAACACCAATATATATATATTGTGTTGGCTAAATTTACTTAAAAACAAAATACCCTATTGAAATATTGTAAAGCATAATATTTAGAATTTAGTCAATACTCCTCGCATTATTCATGATCATTTGCGTTATGGCTCTGACGTCTGTTAACTTGGGTTAGCTAAATTCATAAAAAAATAATCAGGCTTATTATTATTGAAATGAAATTAACATTCTAAGAATTGGATTCTTATTTTCGGATGATGTCGGTCGTATTAAAGTAATTGACCGTGCCGACAAGGCAATGTATATCAAGCTATAGCTAACTGCTAATTAATGCGTGGTATTCAATTTGTCTGGCGACACGGCAAAGTACCGACGACATCCAAAAATAAGAATTCGACTGTTTAAATATCGGTACATTAACAACATGCGGTCCTTGAAGTGAGCGAATGGCATGAGAGACATAATGTTTGAAATACATGTAAGTTGAAAGAAAAAGAAGCGCCAGGAAAAAACAATTTTATTGGCAATGTTTCGTGTGCTTGCTTGCATGATAAATTATGATGATAATAGAAACATTTATACATTGCTTTGACTATACAGACAAAAATGAAGCTGCAAATACTTCATTACTTTAAGTTGATATAGACTAAAAGTACATGTATACTCAAATAGGTACGTATATACTAATTTAGTTATACGTCCCTGATTCAAATTAATATGTCTAAAAAAACAAACTCTGTACATAACAAAGTACTTATACACTAACCAGTGTTTGTAAATTATACAAAAGAAGAAAAGAAGACTTGTGTAAAATTTAAAAGAAATACAAAAATATAACACCTTTCAAACATGTTTTGACTCCATCAGCCAGTAAATGTAAAACCCATCAACATATAAAGACAATAATAGCAATAGTATAATACAAATTTCAAATAGGTGAAAATATATTTAAGTGTTTAAAAAAGTTTGCATTGAAATAGAAAGTATGCTTAGCAGCAATAAATAGAAAAAAAATCATCAGAAAACCTACTAGGTATATACATGTACATGTAGTTTCACATGGATTGGATTATTAGTATTTGTAAATTAACTTTACATGTACATACATGTATATATCCATCAATAAAGTTTTAGTCAAAACGAATTCTTCTATTAATGTATATATCCATCAATAAAGTTCTAGTCAGAAGAAGTTCTTATATTAATTCATAAAGCATATAGAATAATTATTTCACAGTCAAACTAGATCATGCTCAAATTCCTGAGAGTGAACACATATGCTGTGAACATTATATTACATACATAAACATACTTGAGTGACTTTTAATATGATGAAATTATGATAATTATACAAGTATAAAATAACGGTTCCCTACGTTGCGGAATCTTCATTTTTATATCAAGTTTCAATTGCAAAATTATTAATGTATTTTCATTTGGTTCACACTGATATGTACATGCACATCACCATGTGGAAACTTACGACACCACAGGATACAACTCTTTTCCAAAGACACATCCTAAATAAATTCTCAGAAAAGGGGTGTTATTTTGTAAATGTTAAATATTTTAATTTAATTTATTACTATCTCTTACATCATAAAATACACCCCAAAGATAATAATAAAACATTATTAAAATACATTTCAATTTTATATTTTCCTCGATACATTATTTTTTATTTCTTTTAAATGAATATTCATGATAAAAAAAACAATCAAAAAATGTTGTTCCAAAACGAACAAATCAAGTAAATAAAATATATGTTGTGTATATATATTTAAATATCACATATATTTAAATATCAAAACTAATTTTTGAAAACTGAAAACTTTTCTATTAAGAAAATGGAATGAGATTCAAAAATTCTCTAAGATCTGACTTGTTTTGCAAACAAACTTGGTCTAGAACAGATATTGCCAAGTTAGATATGATGAACACGTTGGCTTATACATATATCTTTTTTAAAATAACATTATCTAAAGCTGGGTTTACATCATAATGGTGGAAGAGAATCTAATTCGTCATGAATAACTGCGTCCTGTTTCGATTGCCTGGGCTTGGGATTAGGAAAAACTGGAATGTATTTCATTATCGCCAAGTTTTTGATTCGTTGTGGAAGCAGAGGTTCATATAAGGAAATATCTCCCTGAGTATAATGCCCGGCACTACCGTCTTCAGGTTTCTCGGAACTCTGCCACGCTGTGATTCCGCGTTCTTCTTTGGTCCCTTCAAAACAAATGCAGGACTTATAATTTTGGCTTTGTGAATGTATTCAAAATTATTTACACTATACTCGTTTAAACATTTGCACAAAGAAATAAGTATTTTCTTTACCAGGTAAAGTGTTGTCCATGAAACATGCAAGAAGGGCACCTGTCAAATTTGCATTGCCAAGAAGTGTTCGAAGAATTTTGTCTGCGTTGTCATTACCTGAAAAATAATGCTCTGTAAGCATACATACTGCAAAAATTGTCATCCTCTTCAAATTACAAAATTACATAATCATGTACTTAAAAAAACTTTCTTTCAATGGCAAATAAAAACAGTAATAAAATCAAACCTGTTCTGATTCCCTCTGGGGTTTTCTCCACCCAGTATGGAACAGCCAGTCCCATTATTACGGAAAGCCCGATAATGGCAAGGTTCCGAGTAGAAGTAAGATTGACATACTGGAGGTTTGACAGTACCACTCCAATAAACATTCCAAACATGACAATAAGAGCCCCTCCCAGAACGGGGTGGGGAATGGTGATGAACACTGCAGAAAATTTGCCAACAAGACCAAAGGCAATGTAGAGGATTCCGCAGAATAAAAACACTTGTCGGCTGCCGACCTGGAATTCAGAAAGCAGAACTGTATAGATTTTCTAGGAAAAGTACTCTTTTGTTAAGTTACATATGTAAGTTGAGAGGGGATTTTTCTCATATTGTATTTAAAATTTAATGAAGTTTTTTACAGATGAAGAAGACAATTTCACTAAGTGATGTCATTAATATGATTAAATTTGACCGTTTGCCAACTGGAAACTAAATACAGAGATACACAAGCTCACAACTGAATACATGTAAAATATCCCAAGATTTCAACAATAAAACACATGATCTAAAGGCTTATGATCTGACTAAAATCATTTTATACCTTAGTTATTCCGACAGCTCCAATGTTGCCTCCATACGTTGAGGTAGCATGACCACAACCCATTATTCCAGAAAAGAAAGTACAGATGCCTTCAACGGCAATACCTCTGTTGATGGCATGATTAGGAGGAGGTGGGACATTACATGTTTTTGCGCATGCGTAGTAATCCCCAATGGAGTCTAATACAGAGATAAGTGTGGCTATAAGGAACCCTATGAAGACGCTAACACTGAAGTCTGGAGGACCAAACTGAGCTGAAAACAACAAAAATGTCCAAAACTCATGTCACAAAAAAATCTGTAGGTAACTTGCAAGGAAAGGTATATTATAATTTGAAATCACAAAACTTTCTGTGTAATATCAGGAACCAATGTCAGTATATAGCTACTTATAGGTCCCTAGAAATATTCCAATAATTAAAATTATTTACTAAATTATATGTGTTGACATAAATTCTGTGTTTATGATCACAGTACTTGCAGGGGTTTTCCATGATCATTTTGATTTCTTTATCAAAAATATATTAAACTTTTCGGTTAATTATAGTATACGTGACTTAAATTAGGATCGTTACCTGGATAAGGAAAATAAAACCAGTTGGCCTCTGCAATGGCCTCGTGTCCCAGGTCTGTTCTGGCCAAATCATTACCTTCAAGTAATCCACAGGCTGTAAATACCCCACTAACTCCCCAGCCAATTAGCATGGCGATCAGGATCTGTAAAAGTAACATTTACTAATTCTAATAAAACGGCGTGACTATTGATGTTCACTGATGTAACCAGTCATAGTACTAGTACACACATGTAAATCTGGCATAGGGCCAAAAAGACCAGATATTGCAAAGGAAGGTAGTTAGAAATTAAAAGAAAAGAAGAAAAACTTTAAGCAAATGGTTTTTCGGTTTGATTCACTGCATTTCTTTTAGTATTATATGAATATGTACCACACATTGTATGTGTATAGATAATATTACGAAAATTCTGTTCAAAATTTCATACTTTATGATACTAAAAGATCTTTTTTAGTAGCAAAAAGAGAAAAATATTTTTTTAAACGTACATGTTATTATTCTTTAATTTTCAATCTTTATAGCATTTATAACTATAAATTATAAATTTCAGGTTTGAAAAAGCTAATGTAATAAAATTCCGGGTAACTACCGCAAAAACTTGATGTAGCGGGTATCGCATAACGTGACAGCCTCTCTTTTTCGTCCACATGGGGATAGGCAATTTCCATCGAGCCAGGTAAAGAGAGAATATAACAGCCAATCCAGCTGTTCTGAAAACACGTTAAGACATGTTTAGTCAATCCTAAAAATGAAAGAAATATAAATTTTGTACATAGATCCCTGTTGACTAAAAATTTTACAATTCCGAGTTACAAAGTTTATTTTGCATACACATATACCTTCGGAAATTTTATAATAAATTTGAGATTTTTAATGATAAGACTTAGCTTCTAAGACCAATTCTGATGAAATACAGTAAAACATATGTAATTTGAACACTGAAGATTCAATAAAAAGCCCGGATTAGACAACATTCCGGATTAAATAAAATTTTTACATAATTGAATCGCATTAGGCACGATTCAGAATATACAAAAATCATGATAGACAAGTGTCACTGCATCTAAAACACGAGAACCATTGACTTTTCTGGGGAGATTGTACAGTGTATATGGTCGTATATAATTAACTTCATCGTCGCTAGTCAAAGATATCTGATCCGCCACTAGCTCTTCTAACAAACTCCGAGGCAAATAAGAGTGGAGTAGCCGATCAGAATCCCTCCAGTAGCGAAGATGATTTAATCGTAGATGACTGACATACTCACAGTAAACCAATACCCCAATGTACGGAAACAAACTTAACGGCCGCTCTCTGCATGTAGATGCCGATCAATAGAATAGTAGGAACGATCGTGACAGGGCCAACAAAGTTCAGAATCAGTCCGACGAGACCTGTCGCTCCTATCAGGAAATGGATGAAGCCAGCGGACATTAGACTTCCCTGTAACTATATATAGTAACATAGTGTTCCAGACGCCTTAAAAATGGAAAATTATACTGAGTATTGTGAGGGGTCTCTTGGTGTTTCTATTTTTCAACCATTAAAGGATATGCTGAACCAGCATTTCTTCGATCATGTTTGGAAATGAACATGCGTAGGAGTTATGTCCATCTTAAATGTCATTGCATGAAATATTTATCTCATTAACTAGAATGTACTAATTGGATTTTAAAAAATGTCTTTTCTTTAATCAATAATTTATGGAAATAAATGGAATTGAGCAAATAACTCTGATAAAAAGAGCAAACATTTCTAAACTAAACATTATAGGAATGCCTGAATATGCCAATGTGAAATATGTGTATTAAACATGTAGTACTTACGTATTGAACATGTGACATTATCAAATCCCATTCGTCTAAAGTGGAGTTTATTACAATTGTAGTATTTAGACCAGTTGTTTCATTAAAGAGTGTCGTAACTGAAAGTAAATATCTTATCTTTTACTAAAATTTTATGTTTGTATTATAAGTTCTTAAGAACATAATATCAACTACATGTATATACTTGTTTCTCGATAACCAAGAAGACTCAATGTGAACAACAATTAGGACCAACACAGTTAAAAAAAAATTGATTTTCTACATTTTGATTTTCATCAATATTTCCAAAATATTTTTTTTAAGATATCAAAGAGTCTCCATTACTTTTGGCTAAAAGATACTTGAATACATGGTTTTAATGGCAGTAACATTTGTATGACATGTATAAGTGTTCTGTACAAAAACTCTAACTAATTTTAATTTCTTGCATTAATGAACATAAAAATTAAAATGACATCTTTACGATAAAAACTCTTTTTAAAAACTATAAAATTGAGTCAATTTCTTTGGATTACAGACCATAAGATTTCCCGGCATCACATCTATCTGGATAGAGAGTTTGAAGAGCCAGAAGGGGTACCACGTATTCAAAGGCTGCGCCTTGAAATAAAGGCAACCTGAAAGGCAGAATATACAATGTAAAAGATCGGTGAGAAAAATTTCAATGAACTCCAGAAATGACAAAAAAAAAATCAGATATTATAACACATACAATGTATTGTAAGTTATGTATTTACTACCGCCCGGTAAATTCAGCAGATACCATATGACAATATTGCCAAATCCAGGACAACCAAAGGCCCTAGAGGTAAGAACACTGTACTACTTTTTGAAAAAGTACTGAGTACCTTTTCTTCATGTAATAGATTTGCTTTTCAAAAAGTCCTTTTTAGTTTAAAATATATTTTATTCATTGAAATGGATTGCTTTTCATAAAAGAGTCACCCAGGTTCTTCGCAATAGTCTTCAAGCATTGGCTTCTGCTTAGTATTCCTGACAACGATCTGACAAATACTATTGTTTAATTAAATCTTTAATATCCTCTTTATATCATTATTTATATATCGAAGTATACTCACTGTCAGATAGGAGAATGTCTCAAAAAAGTCGGACAAAAGTGCCCAAAAGCTAAATACTCTGTATTGGTATTCCTATATATGAAGTAGTGAAGATGTTTAGAAAAGCAATTTGTTCACAGATGGCAACCGAACCGCCATTTAAGCAATTTTCATTTTACATCCCACTTTAAAGACTGTCATCAAAAGTTGACCAAACTGTCAAGAAATCTACACTTCGTCTAGACTGACAAATTGTATGTGCCTTCGATTTTACCATCATACGAATAAAAAGTTTATGCAAAACAGGAAGAAAAAAGATCACTGTCAAAGAAACATGATTTTTCAGCAATTAACGTCCTTTATAGATCGGTTTGTCTCTGAGAAAGAAAATAAAACAAAATGGGTGACGTGCAAGATCGCACGACTTCTTGGCTTGTCTTCGCCTACGACTTGTATGATGAACGCTTTACAATTTTTTTTTCAGTCGTTTGTGCAAATGTAGATTAATATTCTTTTGGTATATTGTTGAACTGGGAGATTCTTTAGTTTAACATGTTAAAGAAAACATTAATTGGTATTTGATGTCTGAAACAGCGATGTCCTGTTAATAAATAATTGAACAAAGCTCGCTTGAAGAAAGATCGGCTTAAACAGAGATGCAATAACGATGGGTAAAGAGCAATATTCTCGTAGCGTCCTTGTCATGATATTTCTCTTTAAAATTTTTATTATTTTATCTAATGAAATATTTTACCGTCGTATTTTCGGGGAAGAATTAATCTTTATGTAAAGATAATATTTTTCACATTTTTGATCAATATTAAACAAAATCTGAAACTGTTATAGACATTTTTTGGAAAATAAATTCTTTGAACAAAGTACCTGGATAAATGCTATGCAGGGGTGGTACTGTTCTCTAATGAGAAGTTGATGACTCATTTTGAGAGTGGGAGAGGGGTATGTAACAAAACCAGCCATAAACTTCTTTATAGAGAATAGGGTAGAACAATTTCAATAAGTTCTTACGAACTTAAATAAATAACCTGCTGAAAACAGCATTTTTTAAGATGGGAAGAGAATCCATGCAAATTCAAATTTAAAGATAACTTTAAAAAAAAAACTCTTCAAAAAGACAAGCTTCAATAATCCTACACTAGATGTTGATAGAGACTTGTGAAAGTCCAATGACCTGTTTAAGGTTCATATAAGAGAGATAACTCTCACATAGCTAAAAGGATACATGTATTACATATTTGTAATATTCAAAAGTTAACAGACCATTCCATCAATAATTTCCCCCGCAAGGTATACATATATTGTGTGCATTTTAATCATAAATTATATTTCAATGAAGGAAAAATTAACGCAGAGGAATGGTGTACCATTCATCGATGCATGTTTTCTTAATGCAATACGTTTTCTTTAAAAACGTCATTATACAAACATTGAAAGACATTTTTAAATTTCAAAATACTATAACACACTATCAAGTTTAAAATTGCTGTAAACACGCACCTGACTCCGATTAGAACCATAGCTAAGGTGGTGATACCATCCATGAACAGTGTCGTACTCAGCAGCTTAGTCTTAAATTCTGGATTTTTGTCCCCGCAGACGGCCTCTGCTACCATCAGTGACAGAGCTAACTGATTCGCCAAGGAAAGCAAAGCTTGCTGAAATTAAGCAAGGGTCCGCTTCAAAAAGGGTTTTAAGTATGATCAATTAATGTCGATTGTACAGTGCATAAATTAGTGTTTATCAATTTACTATTCCTGCAAATAAAATTTTGAAATCTGGATTTTTTTCTTGTTCTTTGTCCATTTAAAATGAAAACAAAAATACAATAGTGATTTGCTTATTTCATCAAGGAGTAACCCATTTTTCTGGTATATAACCTGATCAACAAGTTATCAAGAAAAACTCAACTCATACATGTAACGATAATAGGGAAGTCCACTCAAAACCAAGACACCGCAACGAGATGTGGATGAAATTAAGAATGAAAACAACTAAATTACCAAAATGACTTGCATGGAATCATTTCCTACCTGGAAAGCAAATAAGATGGTGAGATGCATGGGCGGATTATCTGTAACTTTATAAATAAGCCCGTCCAGATCCGCCTCTTCAACAACTGGATCTTCCACAGTGACATCCTCCGTGTGGTTGACCATCTTCATACCTTCCTCCCCAGCGTGGTTCTCCATTTCACTAAAATAATAAACACTAAACGTAATTACTTTAATTACTAAAATAATAAAGACTAAACGTAAATTTTACCTGCAGACTAAAATAATATACACTAAAGGTAATTACTTAAACACTTAAATAATAAACACTACACATAATTACTTTAACACTAAAATAATAAACACGAAACGTAATTACTTAACACTAAAATAATACACACTAAACTTAATTACTTAAACAGTAAAATAATACACACTAAACATTATTACATGAACACTAAAATAATATACATAAAACGTAATTACCTAAACACTAAAATAATAAACACTAAACGTAATTACTTAAACACTAAAATTATACACACCAAACGTAATTACTCAATTACTCATACACTAAAATAATAAATACTAAACGTAATTACTTAAACACTATAATAATAAACACTAAATATAATCCCTTAACAATAACATAATATACGCTAAACTTAATTACTTAAAATTACTTACCGAAGCCTCCTAACAAAGTTTTTAAAAAGGACTTTATCACAACGATTCTAAATATTCTAAGCAGTAGGAATGTAAAATATTTTCTACACTGTGATATATGCAGTTCTAAAATTGGAAACTGAAAACACATTTTAGGACATATCCTGTTACGTATTTACCTATTTACCTACATTGTCTGATTATATTATGATTTATTAGCTACTTTCTATTATATGCTTAAATGTTTATAAAGTATTAAAAGACTTTAAACGCTTTAATAAGCAGGGAAATGTATTTGATAATTTTAAACAGATTTACTTTATTTCTCAATTTTCAATCATTCAAGAATATAAATTGCTCAAAAATTAAAATGAAATGTACATGTATAGTATAACATTTTTATTTCTCTGCAATCTATTATACTCGTAAGTGTTGCAAAAATTTTATTTTAAATATTCACAATAATTGATTTCAGCATTCTATTGACACAGACTAAAGAACAAAATTGTACTTCAACCAAGGTAGGCAAAAATAGCTGTATACTACAACACAGAATTACGTCGAGGACACATAAACAATAACATTACCATATAATGTCAAAATCATGGTCGATCTCCATTGTTCTGTATTGTAAACATACAGTCCAGGACGGGCCCATAGTACACTGTTCAGTATTACCTTACATTTTTGGACATGCTATCATCTGTGAGCTCCCATAACACAAAATAAAGATTTCTATATATCAGACCAATTTTTACTGGCTATAGGGTTCAATCTTGATATTACTGAGAAACCGAAATACATGTACTCGGTAAGGGAAAACTTTCGCCAATTTTTCTGATGCGTCACTGAAGAAGTCTAAACGATAAAAGTGAGTGCAATATAATCATTTCTATTGTTATTAGATAAAGTACATAATAATCAACCGATCCCGGGGCTATTTGGTACTTGTTATTCGTGTGTCAATGGTAAAAACATTAATCTACATAGAAACTTTATATTTTAATCGTCTCACTGTGTACCCCAGAATTATTACCAGAAAACTGAGAATGGAATTCAATTGGAGTTAACACGTTCAACAGCTATGATTTGTAGAGTATAGGTAAAGAAAATTGCAATCGAGTGTCAGGTATAATAAGGTATGTGATGATCTTTGTGAATGTGTAAGTAATAACTATTTCCAAAACTTATTCATTTTCCTATCAAAATCTAGGATGCCTAGACAATTAATCAAGGTCCAAATCTTAAAGGGACATGTACACAGTTTTAACAATTCTAAAAATCAATTTTAATGTTTATAATTCCTAACTGAAGCAATTATAATGATCAGCAAAAATTTGAACATCATTTGTTGATTTACATGGAAGATACAGAACTTAAAATGTTCATATGTAAACAATGCTCGTGTCTTGTTTTTGTTTACATATGGAAAATATATTTATAACAAGAACGAGATTCAACAAATCACAAAAAAATGTCAAATCTTATTCAAAATTAACTTCTTTATTGAAAAAAAAATCTGCTTTGAACAAACATATATCAGTATATTCAACCTATGTAAAGAAAAACATGGTACGGGCCTTGTTAGCATAACAAATTAAAGATTTGGAGCTCTAAATCTGTCTTGTATCTCGGCAACTGAAATTCAAATTTTTGATGATCATTAGAAATACCTTAGTTAAGTATTTGTAAATAAAAAAAATATATATATGGAAAAATAAAATTGAAATTTTTTGCTGAAACTGTGTCCATATCCCTTTAAAATACAAAATCACACATCGTAAATTCTTCACAAAGTTCTTTTTAAGGTTTTGCCGAAGGTCAAGATGTTCAAATTATTTTAATCTACTTTTACCATAGCTCCAAAACTATCAGGTATAAACTTAAAATTTTTACATTGTATAAATATATGATTGATTAACAGATGTAATGAAACATATGAAGATAACAAACAGTATTCAAGATCAAAAGTCCATAAAACAATACAAAATACCGTATAGCGGGTTATTTTAGCGGGGTGCTAATTTTGGCCTATTTTGGCGTTTTGATGGCATCCCACTAAAATTTTAATCGCTAAAATAGTCAGTTAACAGTTAACTTAGTCTTCTTAGTGTTCATCTGCAAAGAGATGAAACCCTGTGTCCGCTAAAATAAATTACGCCAAAATTATTCACATACCTTTCAGCAGGCAAAACGCCAAATTTTACCCCCGCCAAGAAAACCCGCTATACAGTAGAAAACAAAAATTCCAAAACAATATATAGATGCCATGGATAGAGAGTAGCATTTGAAAACAAATATATAAAAAATATAGTTTTTGAGCAAAAAATATCTCAAAAAAATTGCATTAAAAAATGCACCTGTTTAATACTGTACTTTTAGTGAAAACCATCATTGTAGAAATAATATATGTTTATCAATGAAGAGCAAGTTGGACGTGAATGGTCTCTGAAAGGCTATTATTGAAAGCATGATATGTATAAAGACAAGACCCCTATAAAATCCACAATCTGCATTGTACTTTCGGTTTCAAGTCTTAACATTTGGACAAAATAAAAAGGGAAAACAACTTTCCAGAGGCTATCGAAGTCCTATTTGCCATTCATTGATAAACATATTTGTTTCTGCAATGATGAATTTCACTAAAAGTTCGGATGTACTTAGGTGTATTTTCTAAAAGTATACGTATTTTTCTAAAATAATTTTTCTCGATAAATATTCTTTTTTAAAGTATTTGTTATCAAGTGAAACTTTCTATCTGTTAATCAATGATATATTTATAAACTGTAAAAGTTTTAACTTTATAAACCACATAGTTTTGGAGGTAATATAAAAAGAAATTAGTGGAGATGTTGACCTTTGGCAAAACATTAATGCCAATAGTTCACTGTACTGCAACAAAAAAGGAGAAAGGAGTTGCAAACAGTGTCAAAAATTTAAATCAAAATTTCTGAGGGACCCCCCCCCCCCCCCCCCCCCCACCCCACCCTCTTCAATCACCACAAATTTGAAATTACATAACACAGACACACAGGCACCTGACGTTACTTATTTTTCTTTTAATAAAAAATATACACCCATACCTAATAATAAACAAGGTTGTTTGTTATTAGGTATTTTTTTATTAAAAGAAAAATACGTAACGTCAGGTGCCTGTGCATAGACAGTATATATTTTCAATCTTTTCTAGAAAAAAAAAATTAACAGATTTAACCTAGTCTAGTGAACTATAAGTATATGTATATTTATGTATATGTTTACACAACACGTAAAATTAATTTAAGATTAGCAGGCGGTAGAAATACCTACAACCATTAAAGAACTACAGGAAAAAAAATTGAGTCTCCTTTTTATCTTTGCAATAATCTATGATCATTAATTTATAATCATATAACAAAGCTAAAACACTTTTTTAAAATGTTTATTTGTATGAAGATTTGATAAAACCACCACTGGGCAACTTTTTCAAAAAGTTATTTCTAAAATTAGCATTTTACCGATGTTTATCAAATGCCATAATGGTCGACATGTTTACATTAGCTAGTTCACAATAGGCATATATGTCACCCGATCTTTTAATACACTTTTACCGAAACTTTCATTTTAGTCTCGTACTTTTCGAAAAAGCACATAATTCAATTTACCCTAGTTTCATCACTTTCCTTAAAAATACATTTATTAAATTAGCTGTATATTATAATATAATCCCAGAGACCGAAAATTCTGACAGATCTATATCTTCTACATATATATCCAATGAATAATCAAACTCTCTGTAAACGTACAACTCAACTTCACTTTTTTTTTTTTTACAATTTAAGCAAGACTTTACCTTGAAATAGTAAAAACCTTCACTGGGGGTGCTTGGTATCCGTTCATGTTTCCAGTATTGTCCATTTTTAACAAATAAATATGATGAAAATGCTTTTGTCCTACACAGCACTACCCTAGCACATTTAAATATTATGTAGGGCGACGTCCTCCCAACCTTTCTATTACCTCTGTATATATGTATGCCATGTGGTGTATACCTGTTTTCTATTTTTACGTCTTCAACAGCATATCGACCGATTGACATAATTTAATACAAAATGTTAAAGTGCGTGTCAAATTTTAATAAGAGATTAATTTATATTACATTTTTCTAATTAGAGGTTCAAGTTTTCAAGAGCATCTAGAATACAAAAAAAAAAACAACAAAAAAATGAAATTGCATTTTGCGGATTACTTCATATGAATTTGGAAATTTGAACAAATCTCTTCCGCGTAATAAATTAAGCACTCGATTTCTTAAGTAAATAGTAAATATTTTTTTTTAAAGTTCTGTTCTACGCACCTTATGACACTGATAGATAAGTCATAGAACTAGATAACCGACAATACCCATTCCAGACATAACCGTTTACGCGGATGCTTATTTTAGAAACTTGACACACGTACTTTCGTTTTCAACTGAGACAAAATTTCTTTCAGATGTAGGTCTATCACATATTCACAAAGTCAGGGATCCTGGGTCTATTCGTGCACGATGGAGGA